TGGGCACCTGATTGCCTCCCTTCCCCAAAGGTTGCAAACTCCAGACATGATTGGAAAGAGCCCATGTATACATTTTAAAACACTGAGCTGAAGTCGAGGAATGAAAAGGTGAACAAAGCACCAACTCTCGAGGTTGTCGCAGGGACCAGGAGGTGAAGAAGATGGAAAAGATGGATAAGGCCCAGCCGGAGCAGGGCTGTGTGAGGCAGCGCAGCCCAGTTCAAAGCCGGACGGGCCGCCCCCTGACTCGGAGCCTCTTCCTTCCCACGCCTTGCGCATTCCGCACCTCCGTTTCGTTTTTTGGTGTGTTTTTTTAATGCATTTTCTTTTCTTTTTTTAAAATATATTTTATTGATTTTTTACAGAGAGGAAGGGAGAGGGATAGAGATAGAAACATCGATGAGAGAGAAACATTGATCAGCCGCCTCCTGCACACCCCCAACTGGGGATGCACACGCAGCCAAGGTACATGCCCTTGACCGGAATTGAACCTGGGACCCTTCAGTCCGCAGGCCGACGCTCTATCCACTGAGCCAAACTGGCCAGGGCTGCATTTTCCTTTGAGTTTGGCAGATGAAAAAAAAATAATTACTTAGGATTTATTTTGAAAAGCATTGTCCCGCAGCCAGCTTGTCTGTATCTGGGCTGCTCCTGCTCCGGCCCAGCCTTGTAGACTGAGCATTGGGATTCAAAATATGAACCCCGACTCCTTGGAACTTACCTCGTCATCAGAAACCTTCATTTCGTGTACAAACAGCATATTAGGAGCAATTATTGACCGATCTAGAAACGAGTAAGAGTTATACCTCACGTTTTTGTCATTCTTTGTAAGGTGGCTTGCAAAGCACCACCCATACGTTTAATCCTTTGATTCTCACAACTCTGCAAAAGGTAATTCGGGAATTCTTCCAGTTTTATTGATGCAAAAAACAGTGCCTTGTCCACGTTCTTACGGCTTGTAGGAGTTTGAATTCGCTTTTGTTACTGGTCCAGCCCTCCCCAGATCGCCCTCCTGTGTAAAGCCTGCCACTTAGTTTAGGGCAGTGGTCGGCAAACTCCTTAGTCAACAGAGCCAAATAGCAGCAGTACAACGATGGAAATTTCTTTTGAGAGCCAAATTTTTTAAACTTAAACTGTATAGGTAGGTACATTGTTATTAACTTCCTTAGGGTACTCCTAAGCTGGCCTTTGCTAAAAACGTCCTCAATCTGACTGAGGTACGTTCACTGAGGTTGACCCCTTCCAACTCTCCTATCCACACTCGTCTTGTATACTTGTTTCGTCTATCTCCTTTCCGAAAACCGACTTCTGCGCATGGGCCATGAAGTTTCAATCGCACTGTACATGCGTGCCCACACGTGGTACTTTGTGGAAGAGCCACACTCAAGGGGCCAAAGAGCCGCATGTGGCTCATGAGCCGCGGTTTGCCAACCACTGGTTTAGGTCTTCTGGATACGGAAGATGTTTCGGATGATTCTGTTATCAGCTGGTATCTCTGAAATGGTGCTTGGGAAGCTTGGTGAGGACGAGTGCTGGGGTCTCACTCATGCTCTGTCAGTGTCCCCGCCAAGGTGCTTCCCTCTGTGACATGTTGAGCAGAGAGCCCTGAAGCCTCCCTCTGCTGGGCTGGTGTGGCAAGAACTGCCTGTTGGCACTGACCAGCCTCACCTCTGAGCGCAGTGGCCTCTGGCACAGGGAGGTTACAGCGAGCGGCGCCCTTTGCCCTCTCTGTGCTGCTGGGGCGGAGGCAGTGCTGGGAGGCTGCAGAGGGAGCCGCAGGAGTGTGCGCTGGGGCGCGGGCAGTTAGGTCAGAGGGCCCCAGACAAGCCAGAGGTCCCCCAGACCTACCCCACCCACACAGGAGGCCGGTCTGCATGGCACAGCTGGGGTGACAGCTGGAGAGGTGGTTCGGTGTTCATGCTCTGCAAATGGCCGACCCTCATAGGAGAATGAGTGAATCCGAGCCCTGCAAGGAGAAAGATAACGCGGCCTTACAATTCGGAAGCACTTTACTACATTTCACATTGTTCCGCATGTATTCTTCCTGGCAACCCTTCAAAGTGCCCTTGTTTTTAGGAAGACGCTGAGGTTCAGAGGGACAGGTGACTTCTCCGAGTCAGAGTGAGAACCCAGGGTTTTTGTCCTGAAGCGCAGTGTCTTACGGTATCGCCTTTGCCTCCCCATCCACGCCCACACAGCTTGGTAGATGAGGTGCTCAGAGCCGAGTCCGGAGGCTGTGCAAGCGAGGGGCAGAATGGCCAGATATTTCGGAGGCTAGGGGGTTCTAGCTTCAGGATCACTGATCAGAGGAAAGGCCCTCTCCTAGCCCCACATTCCTCCCTCACCCAGGGCAGTGTCTCAGAGTTTCCCAGTAGCTGATTGCCCTTTGCTCTGCTTTTAGCATCTGTTCCGAAATTTCTGAATCTGGCATCTGAAAGGCAGGCTGGGCCAGAGCTGGGCAGCTCATTGCAAGTAGCTAGTTCTATGATACTTGATGACGAGGGTGGGTGGGAACGAAATCCCTAGTGTTCCTGGGGTCCTGTGTCACCAGGCTGCTTAACTGGCATTTTCAAACCTGTGTCGTAATTCAGAATTGGCAGGACCTTGTTACTGTGGGTTGGAGAGGTGCATAATGGCTTCTCAACTATAACCCTTATGAAGACCTTTGGCTTTGGAGTATAAGCTGCTTGCAAAGCACTGGGCTTGGGAAGGGCTGGTGCTGTCTCTGGCCACCAGATTCCCAGGCCCCCTTCCGGAGTCCTGCCCCCCGCACCCCCCCCCACACACACACACACTCTGCTTTAGCGTCTGCAGTAATGTCCAATGCACGATAAATAGTCATGGACTGGGAGTTGGAGTCCCCGCTCAGTCACTGATCAGCCTCCCCCATGTGACCTTGGACTAGCTACCCTTCTCTGTGCCTTAGTTTCCTTATTTACTCAGTTGGGGAAGGGCTGAACCAGAGCTGTGAGGGGAGGAGAGAGGAGCCCAGGAGAGCAGAGAGAGCTGAAGCATCCTCTCCAGACTTGTTCCCCGAGGGCCCGAGGCGAGGCGGCCCACGTGCACCCTTAGCTCCCTTTGTTCCACAGCACCCCTTCCTCCTCCTGCCCTGGCTCTGCCTCAACCCAGCTCATTCGGAGGAGGGAGGATTCCCTGGGTGGGGCTGCACTGGGCAGGTGTCCCCTCCGTGTTTAGAATATGATGTTGTCTCTACTTGTTGCAGGCATGAATTAACCCACCCAGTGATGGTACTTTGTTTTATTAAGACTTGATCAGTTCCTGCCCGGAGATGGGTCCTTGAACAGGCAGCAGTCGGGGGCGGGGGCGGCGGGGGGGGGGGGGGGGGGCAGGGATTGGGAATGCACGCCCAGCCGCAGAACAGTAGCACAGTGTTCCATAGTTTTCTGGACGTCAGAATCCAGGAGTTGCAAGCATGCGGAACTTTAGTGTCTTTGGATGTCAGAACTGAAATAGCCTCATAGATTTTCTAGTTCCTTCCTCTGTGTGTACAGATGAGACCCAGGCCCAGAGTGCCTTCAGAGCTTATGTCGATTGCCCTGCCAGTGAGCAGTAGAGCTAGGACCCAACCTAAGGCTACCTAAACCCAGGCGAGTGTTTTCTTTAAGGTCATGCCGGCCGGCGCTGTCTGCAATTACCTTCTGTATTGAGCTAAAATTGGGTGGCTCCAACTCTGCCTCACTGTGGCCTTTAAAGGGTAAAATTCAGATCATTTTGTTAGACATTAAATGCCTACCAGTTACCAGGATTTGTGTTAAGTGCTGGAGATGCAGGAATGAAGAAGTGACCCCTGCCCTCATATGGCTCCACCATACTCTGTAGACAGACATGTAAAGAACTCAAATACACAAAGTCCATTTGCTTGTGCAATGTGCAAAGATATGTGTGTGTTTGCATATGCACACACACTATATAATCAGAGGCAAGGGAGCAGTCAGTTGCCAGGGCTTTCCGAAAGGCTTTGGAGAGAAAGTGGAATTTGTTCTGGGCCTCTACCTGGTTGGCAAGGATGGCGCGGGTGTTCTGGGTAAAGGAAGTGACAGGAGAAACAGTGGAGCCTAACAACATGCTCTAGGCCTTGCACTCTGAGAGGCCGGCGAGGGTGCGGAAGCGGCAGGGCTGAGGCAGAGTGGTGGGCTGCAGCTAAGCTGGGAAGGGCTCTGTCCGCGTGCTGAGGAGGTCATTGTGAGAGTCCAGCGCCAGGGAAACGTGCTCAGGTCGTGGCTCCACTCGCTCTGGCTCCAGCGTGGAGGGCAAGCTGTGGAGGACCCGGCTGGAGCCCGGCCAAGCTCAGTTGTGTGGTTCCTGAAATGGCCAGGCACGAAGTGGTAGGGGCCCGGGGCTGGACAGAAGCCTCGATGTTAAGAAGAGCAGGCGTAGCAAACACATTTTCCTGACTGAGTGGGTATGGGCTGCGAGGAAGAGTCCAATGTGACCGTCCGTTTCTGGCTCTAGCAGTTGGCTGGATGCTGTGTCATTCAGTGAGCTGGGGAGCTCGGGAAGAGAAACTGACTCTAGTGGGGGTCATTCACGGACGTAGTGAGCAGAGCTAACCTACAGAACACCCGGTTGGAACTGGGTCAGGAACCTGGAAGTCAGTACCAAGGGGTGGGTGAAGTGCTGGAAGTTGGTGAGGTTGCCCAGGAAGGGAGGGTGGGTTGAGAGGAGTCACTTAAGTGGCAGGAAAAGAAGGGAAGGCAAAGGAGCTAAAGAAGAGACAGCAGGTGAAGGGCCTCCGTGGTGCCAGCCAACTTCCTGGGTGTGGGGAAGAATGGGGTGAGGGTGCAGACTGCACAGGCAGCCCGGGAGAAAGGGAGGCCTTCCTTTGATTTCGGTGAGTGGGACACATGGGCTGTATTAAGGGCTTCGCTTCATTGGGCTGCACCGGATAGCAGAGAGAGCTGTTGGCACTTGATAAATGTTATCATCTGCATGACTGCAAATGACTCAAACTTTGCTCAACGTTCTGAAGGGCTAGGGGGCCTTGCCAGCTTTCTGGAAATTGACTATTGGCAGCTGTAGGAGCTCTAGGGTTTCTGGGTGGCCTGGTCCTGCCCATGGAATGAGGGAGCTTCGGGCCATAGGCAGGACTCGGGAGCTCCGCCTCCAGCCCTCCCCTGCTGCCCGGCTGTGCCTGCTCACTGGATAAGCCTCTGTGCTGTCCGCGGCAGCAGGAGTGTGGACGCTGTGAATGGTGAGTGCCTTGTTCCCAGGTTTGAACTGTCCAGGGTTGGGCATCAGGGACCATGTGTGGGGGAGGGAAGGTACTTTGTGACGCTCTGGGCTGCAACGAAGAAACACTCTGCAAATTGAAATGGGCAGGAGAGGGTAGAGTTATAATGAGGAACCAAGAGTGTGTAGACTCCCAAGTGAGCTGTTTTGGGTAGTCACAGGATGTCACTGGGGTGCTTCAGGAGCCTTAGCATTCACCTGACCAGCCCCTCATTTTGAAGTTGGGGACAGTGAGGCTGGGCCAGGGGCGAGAGGGCTGTGGTGATGGAATCAACCCAGCCTGGCCTCGGCAGCCTAGCTGGGTCTCCTCCCCCAGTACCATGCTCTTCCCAGACCAGAGCTGCCACTCTGAGCTGCCACAGCTGGTGTTGGTTTGTGGTCTTATCGTGCGTCACCTTCTTGTGTGGGAGAGGACAGATCAGATAAGCCCGCAGTGGAGCACTGGATACTGTAGCTGTGTCAGGTGGGGGCTGGCTCTTCTGTAAACAACCTTGCTATTATCTTTCAGCGAAACTGACCCTTTCCTTAAGGGAAGGGGCTGGGAAGGGAGGAAAGAGAAGGGACATCTGTCACATGGTAAATTTCCTTTAGAGTAAACATGGTTTGACTGTATTTGATGGCTGAAAAAATAAGTTGATCTTTTTAAATTCTCTTTAAGACAAAGGGGAAAGTACCCCTTGACCTCCAGGAACCCACAAGGGAAGGTGTGGGGAGGCGAAGTGTGACAGTAGAAAGACTTCCAGCTTTGGGGTCTCAGAGGTCTGGGTCCAGGGTGCAGCTTGCTGCTTGCGGGCTGTGTGGCACCCGAGAAGGCACTGAACGTCTCTAGCTCAGGGCTGTCAGCTGCAAAACAGAACCGTGTCTGCATCAGTAATGAAATCAGAGTGTGCATGTCGAGTGACACCAAGTAAATGCTGCTTTCCTGGCCGCCCTCTCTTTCTAGTGAGTAGCCTTGGAGGCCCATGTAAAAATGCATTGTTCCATTTAGCTATGAAGGCTCCCTCTACCCCCTCCCCTCTTTTTTGTCAGTGATTTGGGCTCAGAGTCAGCTCTCGCTGTGCAACAAGTTGCAGTGGTGCATACTCTGAGACAGGCCAGGATGGAAATTGCTTTGTAGTTCACAGGGCCTTGGCTGAGGGGCTGGACCTACATACTTTCTGGGTGTTTCCGAAATCAGTTTTCACTGCTTTCCAAAGGCCCCAGGGAGCATATGAGGCCTGACTCTCACCTCTGGTGCCTACGAGGCTCTCACTAACTAGTGCCACAAGGCCTGAGGATGAGGTCCACCCCCTGCTCCTGCTCTCCGGATCCCAGCCAGAGGAGGTGGTGGGGTGATGGTGCTGGAGCCCACATCCTGTACTGCACCTCTTGAACTTGAGGTAGAGAGTTGGGGGCCTTTGGGTCATTCTCAGAGCGCCTTCAGCTCTGACATTCACCCCCAGCTGGCCTGCTGCTTCCCAGGTATATTCAGCCCAGGCCCCACTTGGCTCTTCCATCCTGCCCCTGGGGTCCTACATCTGCTCCAAAGACTCCTGCTCTGGGTGCTTCTGTGGCTGCCTAGGGCAGTCGTAACCAGCTCTCAGCCCTGCGCTGACACAGCTCATGCTCATCCCTTTCTCCACTCATTTAGTTTTATTTGGAATAAATAAATATGTGGGAAGAAATTGTGAGTCTGGTTGAATCTGATCCCTTGTGCTCTTGTGCAAATAGGCTACATTTGCACAAGACTGTTGATGGAGCCTGTGCCTCTGAAAGTAGCTGTGGTGTGCAGCGAGGGTGTGGAGCTGACCGTGAGGGTCACTGGACTTCCTGAAGGGCACTGATGTGTTCCAGGAATGGAAGCAAGTCCTTTTGTAGGGTAGATGTAAGCTGGCCTTTGAGTCCTGGTGCAGAAATGTTATCAGCTCTGTGATCAGAAGCCACGCCGTGTGCTTCTGAATCATACACACATGTCAGAGAACCAGGGACATTTCCAAGTGTGTAAACATACAACAATTGTTCCACACGCTGGGGAACCTCTTGTTTACAGCAGGCAGGTGAGAGCTATGGTTTTCCTCCTAATTGTTTTCTGAACTGTAATCCAGTAATGTGTAACTTTGCTACGTAGGAGAATTGGAAACCAGCCTAAGAACTTTAGGCCGGCTTCCTGCTTGGCCCAAGAACTTTGGTCTTCCATAGTCATCATCTTCATCATTCAATTCTGTTGGACTCATTTCAGTGCACATTAATGGAGAGCCCACTGTATGCCACACAGGCATGTGCTGGCATAGGAGGTTCAGAGATAAACGGAGGAACAGACAGGTCTCAATCTTGTGTCGAGCACAGGAGATGGATCATGGGTGCAGTATGGGCACAGTACCAAGGTGGGGGTGGAGCAGCACCTCTTGGGCTGGGAGTCGGGGTAGGCAGAGCATCCAGGAAGACTTAGAGAGTTGTTTGGGTCTTGAAGAATAGAAGGAACAGGTGAGGACGTTCCAGGCAGAGGTGTGATGTGTTTCTGTCACCATGGCTGCCCTCCCACAGTGAGCTGAGGGAACAGCCTGCCCTCGTGGCCAGCCAAGCACAAGATCCCGGCTGCTTTGCTCCAAGACAATGCGTCTGAGACTCTGTGTGCATGTGAATTGCCCGATCTGATTACAATGCAGTGTGTGATTCCTTCGTTCTGAGGACGGCTGCAGATTCTGCGTTCCCCACGCTGCCAGTGCTGACCCAGGAGGCCACATGTTGAGCACTGAGGTTATAAGACACTTCTCTCCCAGTTGAGTCCCCGCATCGGAGATACTATAGGGGCGTCCCTTTTCCCAACACACACACACCAGCCTTCCCCTCCCCCCTCTCCCCTAATATACCGGATGCCAAATTCTTCTTTCTTAAATGCTGCTTTCATTTGGTCATTCCCACCCCCACCTAGAAGTTCCTTTTTATTTCTTAACTCAAATCTGAGCTTCCCAGGCTGGCCTAAACTCTAGTCTGACCTACCTTTCTTTTCCCCAAGTCAGCACTACCAAGTTACTCCCAGCCCCACCTCCTGGCCCTGGCGGTCCCTCACAGCCCCTCCCTTGGCAGTGGTATGCAGAGTTCTGGGCATTTGCTTAATCCTTTGGAGAAATCCTCTCCCCAGCCAAATCCAGCAGGGAGAGCTAAGTCTTAGGTTAGGAGGGAGGGCCTTATACATACATACATACATACATACACACACACACACACACACACACACACACACACGCACGCACGCACGGTCTATACCTGCTGATCTCAGCACAATGAGCTATGCTGGTATTCAGGGAGGAAAGCTCCAGTGTCAGTCTGATCCTTAGGATGGCAAGAGGGCCATATGGAAAGATAGATTCTGTTACGTGGTTGTCATTTGAAGGAAGGCTGGGTGGGTACCTGCTGCTCTTTCGGGGTGGGCTGCTTCCAGGAGCTCACACCCCTAGGCACAAGGCTTCCCACCTGGAGGAGCCTTAGGGAGGCACTGCACGAGCTCAGAACCAGGCTGAACGGTTCTGCAGGACCCGCTGGAGCTCCCGTTCAGTGGCAAATCCCTGCCCGGTGCAGGCAGCTGTTGCCCAGGCCTCTGCAGCAGGCCCCAGCGCTGTGTTCTTCTTACACGCGCCCGCTCTCAGGCCCTGCCCCCATTCACTCGACAGGCGTCTGTGCAGCTCTGTTCTGGGAAAACTGTCAGATTAGATACTGGTGTCTAATGGTGGTCATCTCTATTAAGCTGTCAGTGAAAAGATGGGGTGCTCTGAAGATCTCTGCGTTCTGGTCAACTATGGTTTTGTGATTGGTTCTCTTTTTGCTTTTGTTTTGTCTTCATCATGAGCCTGTTTTATTTGTATAATGAGTAAAAAGTAAAGCTATTCTCAGATGGGAGAAATGTACTGAGATTGCCTGCCTACCACAAGGGAGGCCCTGCTGGGAACTGTCGGGCTGATGAGTAGGACGTCTCTATTTCTGAGGGATTCTCAAAGAGGAAGAAGGATAGGGTACCGGGACAGCGTGATCCATGGGATGTGGTAAGTATCCTCTGATCACTGAAGAGAAGGCTGCCCTCCGTGGGAGATGATAGCCCAGACTCCTGGACAGTGAAGGAAAGGCAGGCATTGACGGGGGAGGGGAGGAGGGGTTGGGAGGGTAGGCAGCATGGATGAGCAGCACAGAGCTGGGAGGCCTGGGCGAGGGAACTCAAGAGGAGCATCTGAGGGGCTGCCATTTCTCTCATCGCTCCTGACTCACTGGTGAGCTCCTCGGGCAGGAACCTCCATGTGTCGGTGGCATCCAGATCTTGGGGTGGCAGGTGCTCAGTCCCCTGTCTGCTTCCGCGGCCCCCCTGCCCCCTTCCTCTGGCCACCTGGTGGCTGCCCGGCTGAGCCCTGCACTTTGCCAGATCACATTCCTGCTGTCTTGTGAGAGCATTAACGTCATCTTCCTTCTTCTCAATCTCCAGAATGTCTTTCCTCCTGGATCCAAGCTTCCTCTCCGTAGGGATGTGGTCCATCGGCGCGGGGGCCCTGGGGGCTGCTGCCCTGGCACTGCTCTTGGCCAACACGGACTTATTTCTGTCCAAGCCCCAGCGAGCAACCCTGGAGTATCTGGAGGAAATAGACCTGAAAACTCTGGAGAAGGGTAAGCAGTGACCCCTCTGCCCTCAGTACTTTTCCAAGGCACGGGCATGCAGGCTTGTTTTTTCTGTGTAAAGTAACTTTTTTTCTTTTTTTTTATTGAAAAGATAATATAACAATGTTAGGGAACATTTCATAATTTTTTAAATGACCATTACCTTAATGATACTTGTTTTTAGTTCTGCATGTTTTTTGCATGTTTACTTACATATCACTGTATATCTGTGATCTGGGTGTACATGGTGTTTTACAGTTTAGGGTTTTCTTACCAAACTGATTATTCACTTTCTGTTGCTGTCTCTCTAACTATAATGATACTTGCTCTGCAATATTTAGTGATGTTGTAGCACCCGTTACTAAACCAGCTGTTCCCGAGTCTGTGCTGCGGACTCTGGGCTCCTCGATCTTCACAAAATAGGAGCTCCCAGCCAAATACATCTGAGAAACACTGTATCCAGTCCGAGCTCCTGGGGCTCAGCACCGGGATTTGCTCATTGAAAGGAGGTGCCTGGACTGTTGCTGGCACGGGGAGCCCAGGGTCGCACTTTCGGAACGGACCTGCCTGTCTCCCTGGAGTCCCGGTGGACAGCTGAGGGCCACACGTTTGCAAGTGGCAGCTCCGTTGCCTCACTGTGCTCTCAGCTGTGGATCTGGAGCTCGGGGGTTTCAGTCATGCCGATAGTGTGGGTAGGGCTGGCATGAGAGTTTGGTGAAAGTTGGGGTCACTGACTGGGCGGTCTCCAGGTTGGCCCCTCAAAGGGAAGCCATCGTCATCTGCTCAGCACGTGAAGAAGCTTGTCAGAGGAGGGCAGGAACTGTGACTGCGATTTATGATGTAGGTGGTCTTTCTAAGGGATCAGGGAGTCCTGCTTTGTTCATCCCAGGGATTCCCAGTCTCATCCTCCTCTCTTTTTTATACAACATCCCACAGGGACATGGATTTCTCTAAGGAATGTTAAAATAGTAAGGGTTCACACTGATTGACCCCTCGGTAACTATTATTAGACACTGTGGCGAGCACTTACATAGCCGTCTGTTCATACTCCCTAGAGCCCCGTGCTGGACATCTGCTTTTATGACAGGGAAACTGGGGTTCAGGGGGAGACCCAGCTGGTCAGAGTCCCATGGCTAGATGCAGACTCGCTCTGGCCCTGGAGCCCGGCTTGAGCTACACTACTCTACTACCCCAGCTACCCTAAGGGGTTTCCTCGTTAGGTATCTTCTACCCTCCCTAGGGATAATATTGTGGGGTAAAAATATTTAAAATTTCCATTGACTTAATCCCTTTGAATACTTTTTTAAGAGTTGGGATTTTCTTAGCTGCCACTTTTCCAGAAATGTTTCAGTTAGGGATGTTCAACTTTGCAAATAATTTTTTTACAGAGGAGGGGCGTTTGGAGTATCTAGTAGCATCCTTACACTTTATGAATTTTCCTCTGAGGATGACTGTTCCCTGTCTGTGCTTCCTGTTTGCTTTCCCACGTGTGAAATGCAGGTCCAGACCCTCTGCTAGGCCTGGCACCACTGATGAATGGCTGAGCTGTAGGGCAGGTGGACGGGGCTGGGCAGAGAGGATGCTGGACTCTTTTCTTTTCCCCAGAACCAAGGACTTTCAAAGCAAAGGAGCTCTGGGAGAAGAAGGGCGCTGTCATCATGGCTGTGCGGAGGCCGGGCTGCTTCCTCTGTCGAGAGGTGAGTGCATTTGGAGATCTGTTCAGAGAAGAGGACCCCAGAGGGTGGGGCCAGGGCACTCCAGCCGGAACCGGGACCCGGGACCCGGGACCTGCAGGCCCACTTTGGCCTTTGATCAACACTGGTCCTTCTTTTGTTACTTGCTCTAGCATTTCTTTGGACTTACTCTCTGTTTCTGCTCATTGAACCACTCACCATATCCTGGGGTTAGCGGCACACTTGACGGTCCTTTGTGACTCCCAAACCCTGTCACTCTTGTACTGTCTGAGTCCTGGACTACCTTCTTATTGCATCAAGGATGGGGACCAGGCCCAATTTCCAGTTCCTGGGGCTCAGCACAGGGGTTTGCTCATTGAAAGGAGCTGCCTGGACTTTGCTGGCACAAGCATGCCAGCCCTCATCTGTGGTGCGGCTGCACAAAAGAGCCCAGGGTCGCACTTTCGGAACGGACCTGCCTGTCTCCCTGGAGTCCCGGTGGACAGTTGAGGGCCACACGTTTGCAAGTGGCAGCTCCGTTGCCTCACTGTGCTCTCAGCTGTGGATCTGGAGCTCGGGGGTTTCAGTCATGCCGATAGTGTGGGTAGAGCTGGCATGAGAGTTTGGTGAAAGTTGGGGTCACTGACTGGGCGGTCTCCAGGTTGGCCCCTCAAAGGGAAGCCATCGTCATCTGCTCAGTACGTGAGGAAGCTTGTCAGGAGGGCAGGGCCCAGCCTTGTCGCTTTACAGACAGGTAAACCCAGGGCCGGACTAGTTTGGTCACACAAGTCAGTCAGTGGCAGAAGACCCAGGTCTGAGATTCGGGCCCCGCCTGGGGAGAGCGGGAGTGACAGTGCTCCTGCTCTTGAGACAGCTTTGCTTCTCGATGGCGTGGCCGCGTCCACGCTGTCCTCCTCTTCCTCTGGCTGTGCTCCCTGACCCTGAGGTGTTCCTCCGCCTGGCCCGTCTGTCCCCTGCTTGTGTGGTCAGGCTGGCAAAGAAGCTGCTCGCGGCGGGACATGGTGTGCTCTGCTGCACCTGCATTCAGGGCGCTGCCACGCCTGATACTCCATTCGTGCCCCACACATCCCTGGAAAATACAGCTTGTTGTTATTCTCGTTTTGTAGAGGAGGAAATTGAGGTACAGGGGCTGTGGCAAAGTCACGCCGCTGAGGGGAGGCATGCTAGCTTCCTATTGCTGCTTTCACAAATTATCACAAACTCAGCTTTAAACATGACAGATTTATTATCTCACAGTCCTAGAGGTCAGAATTCCGAGACGGGCCCCTTGGAGCTACAGTCCAGGTTTTAGCGGGTCTGTGCTTCTGGGGGGTGTAGGAGGGAAACAGCTTCCGCCCTCCAGTAGCTCCGAGAAGCCACCGCAGTCCTGGCTCGTGGCCCCTCCCTCCATTTTTAATGCCAGCAGTGGCGGGGCGAGTCTTTCTCACACGCATGACGGTGACACAGACTCTCCTGCTTTCCTCGTCCACATTTAATCACTTGGGTAATGCAGGATAGTCTCCTTTAAGGTCAGTTGATGGGCAGCCCAGATTTCACTGGCTGCCTTACTTCCCCCTTGGCTTGTAACAACACACATTCACAGGCTCCTGGGATCAGGATAGGGCCCTCCTCAGAGGTCCTCCCATAGTTCACACTCAGAGCTTTTGATTCCAAATCTGTGATACCTCCAGACACCAGCACAAGGCCTGCTGTGACTTGATTTCTCATGCAGGTTAAACCCAAAGGCTGCAGCCTGCTTCCTGTGCACTAGTCTCTGCCCCAGCAGAGCATTTTGTAGGAACTTGTGTTTCTAAAAGGATGGTCCAATGGCAGTCTGAGCTCTTTTGAGTGGCCTGGGAGGAGGTCCGTGACTGTCCATTCATAGCTTTGCACAGGGACACACCCAGAGTAGAGAGCCCAGGAAAAGTGAGTGAAACGTCTCATGTCACACACATCGGGCCTGCAGTCCTCTCTGCTCCGGGGCAAAGCTTGCCATCACCGAAGCCTGTAAAGCACTGTAATGAATTCTGCTTCGTTGGCTGTCCTTTTGCTGTTGTTCTAGAAAACAAAAAGTAAACATAGTGCCGCTGTACACCCGTGTGTTTGTATGGGAGGCGAGTGAGCTGCATTTGGGAGGGTTTCATGCTATTTCTTTCATTCTGACACCAAATGTGAAAAAGGAATTTGTTCTTATCTTCAAAGCCTTCCCGTGTCACAGGCAGTCACCCAGGCGCAGTTCCTGGGAGTCCAGGACGCCGTGCTCCTCAGCTCAGCTGCGTTCTGTGTGTCCACCTTCGCCTTCGGCTCTTCCCACCTGGTACCTAGTGCCTTCTGTGCCCCCCGCGGTGCGCTAGGCACTGAGGGGCACAGGAAATGGAGACACAATTTCTAGCCGCAAGGCACCCTGGGAATGAAGAGCCAGTGCTCAGCTTAATGGTAACACACAGACTCAGTATGGGAGTCGCCCAGCAGGAAGGGTGGGATCTGCCCAGAGAATCGGGCCGGCGGGCAGGGGGGTTTTAGAACAGGGCTCCCTTCCTGGAGGGTAGGGGCTGAGCTGCAGAAAGGAGGCAGGTTATTGCCGTGAGGGGAAGCCAGCTGAGCAGAGTGTGGAGGCAGCTATCCCCAGGCCTGCTTTTTGGTCCAATAGACCCTTGTGCTATTTTGGTCTAGTGCAGGGGAGGGGCTAGAAGATGAGTTAGGAGAGAAGCATCGTAGCCAGGAGTAAATGACCATGTTTGGCTGCAATCTCTTAGTTTTTGGATGCTCCCTGGGCAGCGGTTAGGACACCCATAACAGGAGCCTGACCCGTCCTCCCCACGTGCAGAAGACAAGCCTGTGCTGAGGCCTCATGCCCATGGGACAGTGCTGTGCTGGGCTGCACAGGCCTTAATTGTTTCTGGCATTCTGTCGCCTTTGTTCTTCCGCATTCAGGGCCAGCCGTGCTCTGGGCTGGAGGGAAGTGGGTGTTGGTTGGCCACAGAGTCTGACCTTTGCTCTTTTCTGCAGGAGGCTGCGGACCTGTCCTCCCTGAAGCCCAAGTTGGATGAGCTGGGCGTGCCCCTCTACGCCGTGGTGAAGGAGCAGGTCAGGACCGAAGTGAAGGACTTCCAGCCTTATTTCAAAGGAGAAATCTTCCTGGATGAAAAGGTGTGTCTGTGAGCCTGTGACAGACTGCAGGGGACTGTGCGAGGTGTGGAGAGCTTGGTACCAGAGGGTGTGTGGCCTGGAGCTGCAGGCTGGACTGGGCTCCCTGTCAGCTGCCCTGAACTTGCAGGGCCTTCCCAGCCTCTGAGCGGAGCCTGAGCGGACACTGAAAAGCTGTCCTCCCACGTGTTAATTGAGCGCTTCCTGAATTGTCACGTGGGAAAGGTTGCCTAGGAAGTGGCTGAAACTCCACTGGTTCTCCCCACCCGCAGGTGGGGGCCCAGCACAAGCCCCGTCCCTTAATTCATTGCAGTCATACTTGTTTTCCCTCTGTCTTCCTCTACGAACGTGGGACTGAGTCACCCATCAGGCCCAGGAGCCCTGTAGTCTCTAGCAGTAGGTCAGAGTCAGGGCTGAATGCTGTGGGCCAGGCCCTCGCAGCCAGTGCTCCTGGGGGAGGGGTGTGTGTGTGTGTGTTGGGGGGACACAAACCAGCAGGCTTTGAGTCTGAAAACCAGCGCCCTGCTGGGAGCCTGTGCCCCCTGGGGAAGGTGGGCAGCCAGGTACTCAGAGGGTCTGTCCTCCCTGCTACAGAAGAAGTTCTACGGCCCCCAGAGGCGGAAGATGATGTTCATGGGGTTCGTCCGGCTGGGCGTCTGGAGCAACTTCTTCCGGGCCCGGAGCGGAGGCTTCTCCGGAAACCTGGAAGGCGAAGGCTTCATCCTCGGGGGCGTTTTTGTGGTGGGATCAGGAAAGCAGGTAATGCCTGGGTCTGTAGGTGTCGGTGTCTGTGGGCCTGAGGCCCCGATGGGGGCAACTTCCCCTACTCAGCCTCCCAGAAAGCCGGGCCATGAGGAAGGGGAAGGGGAAGGGAGAGGAATTGCCGTTTATCATAGATCTCACGCCTCACAGTTCGCAGGCGAGGGAGTGGCCGCCGGGGCCTGAGCCAGGCGTTGTGAGGCTGAGTTCTGCTTTCTGTGCCTGAACAAAAGCATAGGTTTCCCTGTCGAGAATGCACTTCTTTGTGGTATTCCCAGGTCCACAAGGGTGGACAGTGGAGAAAAGGGAAGGAGAAAGGATTCAAACAGACCTGATAAGGGGAAGTAGCAAGGAGATGTGGGAAGACACCGCTTCCCGCTGTGGGGTCCTGGGGGCGAAGCCGCCCCTGGCGGGTGATGTGCTCACCGCACAGGTCTCTCAGGCCCTGACTGTGAGGATCCAGAGTAGCTCAGGGGCATGTGTGGGGAGATGAGGTCTCTGTGGGCCCTGGAGGGAGGCAAGTGGGTGAGTGCTCCATGTCAGACCTTCGGCAGCCTCGAGCCGTGGTGTTTCCCCTGCACCAGAGGGCAGTGCCCGCAGCGGCCAGGAGGACGCCGAGCAGGGAGGGCATAACATGGGTGCAGGCTCGAAGGCCTGGCAGAACCTGGAGACAGGGCTTGACTTCAACCTGGTCTCCGACACCCTTAGCATGGCATTAACTCGTGGCCTCATCTGCCTTGGTGGACCTCACAGCTAACACTGATAATTCACAGTACTTTTCCTAATTTGGGAGGAATAAAAGCAAATGGGAATAGAAATATTTTCATTTCTAATCCCTCCTTTAAAGCTTGGTAACTGCTGTTGCTGGTCTGAATTAGAATCTGGTGTGAGTTGGTGTCCGATTTAACATAAACCTATTTGCTGACTTGCTGCCAATACCAGAATGTCGTGGTGACATGGCTGCCAGAGAGGGACTGACTCCTTCCTGGGGCTCAGCTCTCATGTCTTCACAGCCCGGCTGGGGCGTTAGGTGTGCTTGTTCCCACCCACGTGTCAGGAAACGGGCCCTGAGACGTGAGCCCAGGCAGCAGCGTGCAGCTAGTCGGGTGTGGTGGAAATGAGACTCGGGACTCCGGTCTGCCCTGCCCCGCACCTGCCCGTCCCTCACCGCAGCCTCCCTTTAGCAGTGCTTCCCGAAGGCCCTTCCGATGCCCTCACACTTGGGCTGCCCACCTCCTCAGAGGATGGCTCCGCCTCTGCCCACTCTGGCCCTCTGGGATTCCTTCCCCACCCTCCCTCCTTCCCTTGGCCCCGGGGCAGGGCTTGGCTCACCTGCCAGCCTTCTCTTGCCTGGCGGTGACTCATGGGGTGCTCACGGGCTCCCCATTCCTGGCTGGCGTGCCCCTGGAGTTGCTAGGCGTGGTGTTTGGCTTTGTTGGTGCTCCCTGGAGCTCCCGCCTCCTTCCTTCCTGCTGGAAGCTGAGGGTCTGGAAGCTGACGGCTGGCCGAACCTTGGGACTGGCCTCCAGGTTCCCTCGGGCAGAGCTCCGCAGACCCTCTGTGCCAGGTGCCTCCGTGGGGTGTCCTTTGTAATCATCTTTAAAGCATAATTACTTTAAAGAAGGAATGTGTTTCCCACATACAGTTTGAAAACGAAACAGCGTAAGGTAGGGAGAGCGTCCTCTATGCTCGGCCTCCACCGAGAACCTGCTGGGACAGAGCGGAGCTGAGCGGCCTTTTGTTTTATTGTTTTCAGAAGGTGGTTTCTTACTAAACCAGATGTTCTTCTTCACCTGACGGTGGGTCATGAACATTCCCCATGTCATGTGTGCCCCTCCGCAGCCCTGCAGTGTCTCATCCTGCTTTGCTGGCAAGTAGTTTCCTGGTCAGCTTCCCTGGGTCACCTGTGTGCCGGGACTTTCCCCTTGTGAGTTTGACATGCTTGGAGGGGACTTTATAAACAATGGCACAACGAACACATTTACAGCTGTTTACTTTTTAAATTTAAGATGAGTTCCCAGATGTCATGTCATGGGTCAAAGAACGCTTAACAAGGATGCCTTGCTTCTGACCTCAAACACATTATTTTATCTTTCTTACCACTTCGGGGAACTGTGGGGTACCCTGTGTCTTAGTGCATTTTCCATCCTAGCATCGGAAGGAAGGGCCCTTTTCTTAGGAAAACTTACGTGAACTGGCTGACCTCTGAGCTCCGCTCCCATACTTTCGGGCTCTTTCCGTTCTCTTGGCCTGGCGCGTTCTTTTACCTCACCTCTGCCTGTGGACATCCTGGTGACTCTCCTGCTTTACCTGGGAAGCCTTCCCTGATGGCTCGATGAGATGTGATCACTGATGACTTCCCACTCCCGGAGGCTGCGGTACAGTCCAGACATTGTGACCTGGCTGTCCCCTGAGCCGCCCCCCGAGGACGGAATACTCAGGGGGAAGAGCCAGCCTGATTCAGTCTCTGTCCCTTGTTGCCCGAGCACAGGGCTTAACAGACAGCTGCCGCACGTCATGGTGTCATGAATGAACGACTCAGAATGAGGACTGATGCTCCCTCTCCTTTCCTTCCAGGGCATTCTTCTTGAGCACCGGGAAAAAGAATTTGGAGATAAAGTAAACCTAGTGTCTGTTCTGGAAGCTGCTAAGAAGATCAAACCACAGACTGCAGCTCAGGGATAACTAGGGGCTCACCTGTGTCCCCAGGATGCCCGGTTTCCACTCGTGCCACTTAGGCCATCTTCTTAGTCTAGATCATTAATTGGTTTAACTGTGCTCTGTTTAGTAAGACAAAATAGGCCCCAATAACACTGATAACCTAAGATCTGAGTAAGGGGTATTTCAGCTAAAACCTGGAAAACACGAGGCTTAAAATTGGCTGGAGCACCGCATTACAAACGTATATGGTGTTTGAGGTGCTGTTATTTGAAATGAGTTTACTTTCATGTCTTTAAAAATCTAGGAAAATTTGGTGATTGACTAGAAGATTAAGGATAGAAGGCTTTTGGCTTGTATGTTTTCTATAATGACTTGTTAAATAACGTTAAAGTAATAACATAAAGGAACTGATGTGCTCTGGATGGCTTGATAAAGGTAGATCATAAAATGAAATCTGTTTTTTGTCTTCCTTTCTAACCGCAGAGGTTTGTTTTTCTAGAAGAAATGATCATCTCTGGCTTTACTAAAATTATGCAGCAGAAATTGCCTGTAATACAAGTTTTTCTGATGAAGCCAACAATAAAAAGATTTACCATAACGATGGCTGAATTTACATCGCCTGTGCCAAAGACAGTGGATATGAAAAATCAGCATTTCCGCATGTATGGGGGTGAGGTGGCTGGTTCAGGGTTCAGGCGGTGACTGGTCTGACTTCATGTGCTGGCAATGGTGTGTGTACACAGGCCTGAGAGGGGCTGGGCTCCTGAGCCTCCAGGGCACGCTCTTCAGGACTTCACCTGGGTCATACGGTGACTCATCCCCCAGGAGCTGGGGCCCCTGGGACTCCAGCTACTGAAAGGATAGCTCAGATGAGAATTCTGTGGTGCCTGGGAGACCCTTGATTCTGAAATGGCTCTCTTGCAGCTAAAAAAGAGTCCAACCAGTGAGGACGTTGCCGCAATGGATGCATAAGGGAAACCTTGTTATCATCTCCCTCGCCAGCTGTTTTACTCCTGCGACCTTGAGCAGTGGGTCTTCCTTCTCTGACTGGTGTGGCGTGCAAAGAGCAGCACATCGAGTTGTGAAATGGGCTCACGCTCTAGTTTAACTGTGGGACTTTGAGCAAAGCTCTGGCCCTCAGCTCCCTCACTGGTAAAAGGAGCATCATCATTCCTGTCTACCAGCAGGGCTGTTGGTTAAAGTCATTGAGGGGATGATAAATACTGTGAGACAGTGCTGCTCAGACTTTGCTGTACATGCAGATCACCTAAGGGGCTTGTTAACATGGAGACGGTAAGAAAAAGCCAGCCCCTGGTTCAAGGCAGTGAAGGCAGGTTTTCTTCAGTAATGGGAGCAAAGGAGAGGCCTCTATAAAACAGCGCAGCTGGGCTCTGCGCAGAGGTGATGGAGTTTTAAGGGAGAATGAAGGCGTGGGGAGGAGACACGCAGGGGCTCACACAGTCGGGGAGGTGGGAAATCACAGAAAGTAGGCTGGGGGTTGCTCCATGTGATCAGGCCATCTGTGTCTGCTAACTGGCCGTCACCCTAGGCCTCTCCCTCCCACAGGGACAGGGGTGGGCCCTATCTGTTCTGATGATTGCATTTCAAAGGGATGGCTCCCAGTCCTTGAGAAAGACATGCCTGGGTTTCAGGCGATACAGACTGACACATCTCAGAGACAGAGAGGATTCACAATTGTAAGTTTTTTAAATGAATGCTCTTAAGAAAAGGGAGGTCAGAGACCTACAGTCAGGTGTTTGGCTTGAACAAGCCAAGTTCTCTTGCCAGCCTTGAGCTTTCCCAGGCCAGGGACTGGGGGAGGGCTGGGTCGCCACAGGGAACAGCCTTGGGCTGCTTTGTGAAGTCTAGTGTAGGAGGTGGGCGAAGCCATTTGTGCGGCAAGTTTCACAGTTAAGACAAGACAAGCTCCAGGGGATGCTGATGGTCTACTGGTCTAAGGCTCACACTTTGAGAAAGGGAATCTCAATGACCCTACAAATCAAAGACAATGTCTGTGGGCTTTGGGCTTGAAGCTTCAGCAAGTCTCTGACAAGCATTGGCAGGTTCCTTTTCCTTTATCTGATAAACAAATTGAGAACCCGAAATAATGCAAAATACCGGGAGAATGCAGGAGAGAGTCTTTGCTGAAAAGCCAAAGGTTCTCAATTTGGTACACAGTGGTACCACCTGGGGATGGATGTTTACAAAAATCCTGCCCAGGCCACACCCATAGGTCCATTCAATCAGCATCTGGGATGAGACCCAGGCAACAATATCTCAAAGCCGGGTGCTCCAGCATACAGCCAAGGCTGAGAACCATCCTAAAAGAACTCAGTGTCAAGTTTGCTATGCCAGAGCTCCCACCTCAACTTACCCAGAACTAGGCTGCTCCCAATAATCTCTGATGAGTTTTGGAAAATAGTCGTTAGGTGACAAGGGTCAGGGATGGTGTGGACATGGATGTGGAGGGTTCCCGGTCTGGAGCTGGACCTTTAAAATAGAGACTATTTGGATGGGTGCAGAGGTCATTCCAGGCAGGATCGAGGCCCTGAGCCAGGATATGGCTGGAGGGGGAGAACAGAGATATGGATGGGAGAACAGGGAGGATCCCAGTACACTGAGTTCTCGAAAGCAGTGTCCTTTTCTCATGCAGGACTATTGTAAAGTTAAAAACAAACACCAATTTACTAAGTGGGAAAAAGCAGTTCTCTGGCTACTTTATTTCTTTTTTAAAATGTATTTTTATTGATTTCAGAGAGGAAGGGAGAGACAGAAACATCAATGATGAGATAGAATCATTGATTGATTGCCTCCTGCATGTCCCACACTGGGGATCGAGCTCATAACCCGGGCACGTGCCCTGATTGGGAATCGAACCATGACCTCCTGGTTCATAGGTCGATGTTCAACCACTGAGCCCCGCCGGCCCCGCAATTCTCTCTCATACTTTATTTCTCTTTTGCCAGAGCCAGGCATCCCTTTGGGGTGGGGTTGGGAAAGGAAGGTGAGCTGGGGGGAAGAGGCTGTAAGGGGTTGTGGTAGAAGAAATCAGAGGGTCCAACTGAACACTTCTCCTCAGCCCAGGCCACCTTCCCTCACTCTGTTACTAATGTCTCATGGGACAGGTAGGCAGGTATGGCTGTGAGTTTATGTTTGGGAGGGAAGGGGAAAGAAAAGTTGCCTTGTTCTGCTTTAACCCCTCAAATCCTTTCTAGGTTTAAAGGGGAACGGTCTTTTGTTTAGAAGGGATCCCTGGATTGGGGGGAGGGGGTGAGGATGATCCTTTCAAAGACATGCTCCTTTCCAGGTACCTCTGGTCACCTTTCTGTGTAATCTAGTGATGGTCCAGGCTAACCCAACAAACTAGTAAGAGTAGGAATCATTTTTTCCTATAATTCAGGACAAGCACAGGGAGTAATGCAGACAGGTTGGCCAGGGAGGACTTTTTCATAAAATGGACACTTGGGCAGAGACCTGGAAGCAGTAAGGAAGTGGGTCTTAAGAATTTTGAAGGAATAATGTTCCAAGCAAAGGGAACAGCAGGTAGAAAGGCCCAGAGGTGGGGGTGGGATTGTTATATTCCAGGAACATTTTGAAGGAAGTGTGGCTCGAGCAACATGAGTGAGGAGCAGAGGTAGGAAGTAAGATGCGAAGATGGTGAGATGGTAGATGCACACCATGTGGTCTGGCAGGCCATGGTCAGAACGGAATTTTACTGAGAGATGGGACTCCACGGGGGAGTCTGGCAAAGAGAAGCAGCCTGATTTGATTTATATTACTCTGACTGCTTTGAGACAATAGAGTGTAGAGATCGTAGGTTCCAACAGGGAGACCACTAGAGTGCTATTGCAATAATCCAGGTAAGAGATAGCAGGAGGTAGACCAGTAGGTAGCAGTGGAGGTGATGAGAAAGTCAGATGCTGGATATATGTGAAGGCAGAGCTAAGAGGATTTCCTGAATGATGAGATGTGGATGGCAGAGAAAGAAGAGTCAAGGATGACTGCAAGATTTGGGGCCTAAACAACTAATGGTGCATGAATTTTGCACTAAAGGGGAGCAGAAAATGATGGGGTAAAGGGAAGGTTTTAATGTGCTACAACAGTTACAATGAATATACTGGAGGTGTCAATATCAATTCGGGGTGCATCAAAACAATGTTGGGGAAAAGAATAAGCTTAGAAATGGTACACTCAGGATACGATTTGCATGAAGTTTTGTTTTTTGTTTTTTTTTTAAATATATTTTATTGATTTTTTACAGAGAGGAAGGGAGAGAGATAGAGAGTTAGAAACATCGATGAGAGAGAAACATCGATCAGCTGCCTCCTGCATATCCCCTACTGGGGATATGACCGCAACCCAGGTACATGCCCTTGACCGGAATCGAACCCGGGACCTTTCAGTCCGCAGGCCGACGCTCTATCCACTGAGCCAAACCGGTTTCGGCTGCATGAAGTTTTAAGGCACGCACACAGTATTGTTTAGAGCTCCATGCATATGTGGTGAAGTGTAAAAACACATATGGAATGATAAACAATGTACATCCAGGGTTGCCCACCATCTCTGGTTGCTTCACACTTAAAACTATTTCCCGATGCCGAAGCCGGTTTGGCTCAGTGGATAGAGCGTCGGCCTGCGGACTGAAAGGTCCCGGGTTCGATTCCGGTCAAGGGCATGTACCTGGGTTGCGCGCACATCCCCAGTAGGAGATGTGCAGGAGGCAGCTGATCGATGTTTCTCTCTCATCGATGTTTCTGACTCTCTATCTCTCTCTACCTTCCTCTCTGTAAAAAATCAATAAAATATATTTAAAAAAAAAAAAAAAAAAAAAAACTATTTCCCGGGCCAGGTCCTAGTCCAGTTAAACCAGAATCTCTGGGGATAAATCCAAGTGTCCGTGTGTTTTGTAAAGCTCCCTAGGGCATTCTAGTATGGAGGCAGGGTGAAAAACCAATGCCTTAAATTGAGAAACAACTGTAAAGTCTTAGAGAAGCACAAGGAATTTCCCCTTTTATATTTAGGCCTTGGACAGAGTATGTGTTTTGGAGTTGGGCAAGAGACATAATTTTCATGTTCCAGCCAGGAAACATGAAGAAACTCTCCCAAGAGACAGATGAGCCCAGACTGTGGCCTTTTCATATCCAAGGAGCTCCTTGGAGAAACGGCTGATTGCAGGTTTGGGGCAGAAAATGTACAAGATGAGCCTGGAACATATTGTCGAACTAGATATTAAGTAAGTTCTTAAAGACCACTGAAGGCTGGTAGAAAGAAAGGATCCAGGATCTACCTAGAAAAGCTTCTCTCTTGCTAAAGATGGGACAACTTGGACATCTTTAATTGCATTGGATTAAAACACATTGGATATGTTGAAATCCATGAGTTCAAAATGATCCTTTAAAAAAATACATTTGGATGATGTTAAAAACATCAACTCATTTTAAAACCTGGAAAATAAAGAAAAAGAAATAAGCATTTATCCTGCGTTTTTGTTACTTCAGAGTAACCAAAGAGTTGATGAGAGAAATTTCTCATCACAGAAGTGCTCTGAGCCTGTCCAGCCATAGTTAGAATGGGCGAGGTCAAGGGGTGGCCAGTAGG